AAGGGAAATGAATTGACTAGTCGAAAAGTATTAGTTCTGGGAGTTGTTCAACTAGAGTTATTTGATAATCCGATCGATCGACATAGATGGTAATTGTCATGAATCTTCGTTTCTCCCTTATCAACAAATCACTATGAATTCTCTAAGAACCTAATACCCAAAACACCCCTAATGTTCCTGAATAATAGAATCACTTCGATCATATTTGAAAACATAAGTAACTCAGACGCAAAGGACTCCGAACACCCTTCTGATTTCTTAGTGCCTCTAAAAAATGTCTGAATACAATATGATTCTCATAAATCACATTTTGAATACCAAATGATTCTGTCAGCTAATGAACACTTCTGATAGTGATTCAAACTTCCGGCATTTTATTCGTATACTGAATAATTGTATTTCTCTTTCCTATAAGATTATCAAGTATCTCCTAATAATATCTAGAAACTCTAGTGTGTTCCCTAATCACATGAATGTTTTATCTGATTTATGTTATGATTTCTAATATGGATTATGTTATGATATATGATTTGAATTCTATTTTGATTTCTGATATCTCCGTCTACTAACGGAATTTTTTTTATTTGGAGTATTATGGGATCTGGTATGAAGACTCTGATAGGTTCAGTCGTTGTGGTTAATTCCTTTTATAGGTTTTGCACCGACTGGTAATTCCTTATGGACCTAAGGTGACCCTTGGGTAGGCTCTACGGCCCTGATATTTTTCATGGGTAAGCCTCCGTAGCCCCGAGAATTGTCTTGGGTAGGGTCTCAGGCCCCAAGGTACCCCCTTAGGTTATGTAGTTATGGGAAACTGTATTGGCGTTCGGTTGGAGGGACTACTATGGTTTTGAAAACATGTTTTAAATGGTTTGTGGGGACACACTAGATAACCTATCCTGATCTCCTGAAATCAGACATCCGAAATATTTTCATCCGATCTAAAAGCTTACTGTTTGTTACTACCTGAGATATCAGTGGGACCTCAGCTCAACCTAAAAATCTATAGATGTCTGAACCAATAAGGAAACATATGATTATTTGTTATCTTCATGTTCTTCAGCATCATTTCGTAGTTCCGTATTAGTGAGCTTCACAAAGCTCACTCTATTACTCTTCGTTTCAGGTTAAAATAATCGTATCAGTGCATCTATTGACATCAGTAAGGGAGTTCCTTCGGTGTTGCTGGCAAAGTATGGTACATGTGAATAGGGGGCATGTAGGTTGTATTTTGTTTTATATACAAGTCTGAAAATATTTTTTATTTCTGAATACTGGTAAAATTTACTATTGTATTTATAAATGATATTATGAGTTTACATGTTTTAATAAAAGTTTTAAATTTTCCGCTATATTTTTTTACTGTGGGTCGCTCAGATGGCCCTAATGTGACACTTCGGATCGGGTCACCCGTATCGGTCTGGGGTGTTACAATTAACCTCACCAACGCTGCACAGTTTGCGCCTAATGTGTAGGATTGGACTATTCTGTTTGGTTTGATCAGAATATTAGGTTTTTTAACAACCCTTTGGATGAATACGACACCATTATCGAACAAAGTATGAGACTGCATCTGCTGTGTAGTGAAGCTAGATGAGAAACCAAGTTGTGTCGAAGACTACCAAAAACAAACATTGGCCGAATTGAGGACAGTGTTCTTTGGCAATGCCCGAGGAATGGTTGGGTGAAACTTAATTTGGATGGAGGTTGTAACTCGAGCGATGGGCACACCGCCAGGGGAGTCATTCTAGACAGTGATGGACGTTGGTTAATTAACTTTTATGCGTTTATTGGTATCTCCCCGATTGTGGAAGCAGAGTTATGCGGTGTCTTCATTGTCCTTTGTGTGCATGGGAAAGGGGGTTTCGTCGCGTGATGGTTGAGTTGGATTGCATGGAAGCGGTGCGAGTCCTTCAATCTAATGGAGCTAGTCGCGACACCATTTTCATCATTGCTCACATTATTGATCTTGTTCAGAAGGACTAATATATTTGTTTCCAGCATGTCTCTCGACTAGGTAATCGGGTGGTAGACTGTTTGGTTAAGTTGGCTAGTGTGAGTGACTGAGATTCACCGATTGGAATACCCCATGGCAAAAGTGGGAGCCTTACTGCAGTACGACGAGTCCGGCTCGATGAGTTTATCATTTTTCTTTTCTTTGGGACTCCTTTGGGAGTTAATGTTATGCTGTTCCTGTTTTAAGTAATCTGCGTGTTTTATTTTCCTCCATTAAGGGTTAAAGAGATTTTATTTTCCTCCATTAAGGGTTAAAGAGATTTTTAAAGAGGTGCATATGATACTTTTATTGCATGATTCTCGTTAAATCATACAATATTTACAAAGAAAAAAAATAAGAATATTATTTTATATTTTAAGGAGTATATTCGAAATATACAATAATTTTTTTTGAAATTAATAAATTTATATTAATTTCATTAATAATTTTCTATATTTGAAAATAAAAATATTATATTATAATAAATATAATCATAACAAATAAAAATAATATTATATTATTAAAATTATCAATAAATATTATTTTATAATTATTATTTTATAAAAATGATATTAAAATAATCTATTAATATTAAATATATAAAACAAAAATGTTTTGAGTGTTTATGTTTTGAATTGAAAAGTTCGTAAAATGACTCGTGGAAAATTAGATCGTAATTCATAAAATACAAAAGAAATTCAATTGAGCAGGAAAATGAATTACATTGACTGACTATTTTCTTTCCATCAAACATTGAAAAAATAAAAAAATCAAAAAAAACAATAAACAATCAGACCCTAAATAATGTTTCAAACAGTGGAGCAATAGCTGTTTTATTTTTCTTTTGGTTCGGCGAGAATTGTATCTGCACCTTAAAACTGTTGAGTTGAACACTGTGTTTGAGGTCCATTGTCATAAAAACATAAAGGGTAAATTACATGTTTAATATTTAAACTATTATATTTATTTAATTTTAGTATTTAAATTTTATTTTTTAAATCATATCTAACGTTTAAATTTCAATTCCGTATTCCGTTGTAAAAAACTAACAGAATTGCTAATGTGACATTTTTCATATTTTTTTCAATGATGACTTAATATTATCTTATAGTGACACATTAACACCACCGTTAAGTTTTTAATAACGAAATACTTAAATAAAACATAAAAACTTTAGGTATGATTTTGAAAGAAAAAAAATAAAGTACCAATACAAAATAAAAGTAATAGCTTAAATACTAAATGTGTAACTTACCTTAGCGAATCAATTATTCTTTACTAGCCTACAATATACGAGAAATTATTATATAAACCCTTGGTTCATCCACTTATTTTATGCCACATTATCAATATTTTCCACTCCATATTTGAAAAGTATCTCTCATCTCACATTTTTCAACTTAAGAAAATGCTGAGAAAATTCAGATAAAGAGCAGAAACAGGGTCTAAATCTCTAATAAAATTTAGATCAAGAGCAGAAAACAATGAAAATGAGAATGAAAATGTCGGTTGAGATCATCAATCAAGAAAAAAGATATTCAAAATCAAATAATATTGAAATATGTTTAATTATGTCCAGTCAATCACAAAATGACTCAAATGAAAATTTATGTAAGATTTTAAAGAATTCTAGTGAGAATCCCAGGGAGAAATAACGGTGGAGATGAGACTTTTAAAAGTTTTGCAGCAAAAATGACATTTTTTGCAGCAAAAATGACATTTTTTGCAGGCAACAGTTTCATTTTTTCTTTTCTATTTTTTGGATTCATTACCCAAGTTTCTGCTCCTTGAACTGAATTTTGTTAAAGATTTAAACCTTTCATTTTGCTTTCTCACAATATGCAAGAATTCATATAATAATTCCTCACAATATGCATATGCAAGAAAGGGTTCATATAATAATTTCTCACAATATGCATATGCTATACGCTCCCCAACTGTAGACCAAACACACATGATTCCCTCCACATCTAAACTTTCCCTTTTGATTATGAATATGTTGAAAATTGTAGGAATAAAGCAGGGATTTTCTTCCATTTGCTTACTAAACATAATTGCATTCGATTTTGATTGTTACATTTTGGCAGGATCTAGAACTCAAGTGTTGCTTACTCTCCAACATGAGGCCTCTCATCTCCCTCCATTCAATTTGCAGGTAAAAGTGTTCCAAATTCAGTTCAGGTCCATTTTCTCATTTCATTTTCTTCTTTTATCTCAATACAGACCAGGAGCAATAATGAAGAAATGAACAAAAGTTCTAGTAGATTGATGATTGGATCCACAGCGCCTACCTGCACTTATAGAGAATGCAAATACAAATGTACAGCTGAGCAAGTTCCAGTTGAAGAAAACCACCCAATCAATAGTGAATATCACTATAAATGTGTTTGCCATAGGTCATAAATCGACTACATTGTAAGTTCGAGTTTGACTGGACAAATGTGTTTTCATGGAAGTGAATATATACTAGCCTACCTGTTCCAATTTTTCCAGAGGCTAAACATGATCGTGATGGCTATCTCCGAAGCATCACGGGAAGGATTGTCGCTTCGAAGTAATCTCACTGCCTATAGGTCTTTCTTCCTCCACATAAATATGAAAAATAAAAGAATTGGTAAAACTCAATGTCTGCAAACGGACATAGTAAAGTTTGAAAACCTAGTCATACCCTTCGGAGTAATCTCAATGCCTCATGTACTAAGTTTTGCTTATTATATAACTTTATTTGCTTGCATAAAGCTTTCCGTAGCATAGGATAAGGGTGGCAAATCATGAAAACAATTTTCATCAGAGTAGGGTTTTAGAGGAACTTATAAACCACATCAACTAGAACCTAGCTATTCTTACTTAATGGGCTTGGAGAGGTTGAAGAAGATGGTAGTACAATACAAGTGCATAAATTTTGCCTCTGAAAAAGGCGCCCAAAAATTGTGGCATGATTCAAGATAATTTACCTAGTTACTCGAACTAACATCAATTTCTAAGAAGCAAAAATATTCAACCTATCATATATGATGATGCAGCTAAAATCAAATTAGAGAAAAAAATAACAAAGTTATGATAGGCATGATCGAATCATTAACCATTACAGTAATTGTGGCCAACTGGCCCAACTCTGTCCTATAATCGAACTTGGGAATCTTACATTGATGAAGGTTGAATAACAAGAGGTATCCCATTATCAAACTTTATCATTAAAACTGGGAAATCGACATGGAATCAATGCCATCGAAACAGGAAGCAGCTGACAATCTCATTCTGGATCGGGTGAGCCTCCCGGGACCAGCTGCAATGTACAAAAACGAATTATCACGAGAAATTTCTATACTGAAATTCATTGTAATTCTTCGTGTTGGGCAACATTTGGTTTCCCTTATTCAAATGACTACTTTTAGCCCTAGCTGGAAATCTACACTTCACATGCTTAATCATTTACTGTACTCCCCAATAAATATATGCCAATCCTAAGTAAAGCATAGTCCTAAGCAGAAGTGCATTAACTAAATCAGGAACCGTTAAATCTTACAATGGCAATGTTGTTTCCATTAAGCAGAATTTGATCAAGCTTTGTGATCCGTCTTCCTTCAGAAGTGATCTCACTGTGATATGCAACAAAACAAGGAAGCAATCATGATCAACAAAAATTAGGGGCAAAATTCTCCAATTACTTATACACACATATAATACAAGCATGGGACAGATATGTTGCTAAGCGAACAAAGTCAATCACAAGCACACATTATATCAATTTTCTTTTCAGGCATGTGAGTAAAAAGAATCAAACTACGAAGAAGAAAAACCCTTCGCATGATAAAAGAAACGTGAAGACGAACAATCAAGTGATGAATATTTGGAAACAATATAAAAGAATGCAAAGTGTAGTCGGCTAAGTGAACAGAAACCCAGCCTAAACGAACTTTTTGTCTACATAGATTGCTAGTTCTTAAAGGTTTCTTCTGTAACGAGGATTCTGATGATACAAAGTTATCAGTTATTAAAAGTTTGGCGAGAAACGTGAACTCCAATAGAAGATGTCACTTTTGTGAAGAAAGAGTTCTATATCACGCTCCATCAAAACAAACTTATAAGTCATCTCAGTATTTCCAGTTTGGTTCAGGGTTTCAAATTATCATATATTTTAGATTTTTTCTTTGTATTTTCAATCGATAATTTTATAAGTTCTCCCATTCTAAAATATAGGCAACATGGCTAACATCCATAAATCAAAACCCCAAATTGAAATCTTTCCCATAACTAAATAACCTTATTCTACATAAAACCCTAAAACAAAAGGAAAACCGAAACTTTGCAGGGACAGTTTAAGCCGATATATAATATCTAATCTATATCGAAAGATTCTAAAAGAGAAAATGGATAAATTTACTATTCAATAACATCTTCAAGGACCATGTTAACGTATACATCGAAGCCTCTAAGAGTACCCACGAGCTCCTTGTTACCTTTCATTATAACCCATATTTTGAACCCTATGCACCTGTCTATCAACTCTGAGAAAACAAGCCCAAATCAGCATTTAATACGACTTTCTCGAGAAAGTGAAGGAAAGAAAAAAGAAGAATACTTGATGGAAGAAGCTGCGAGGGATTGTTTTCCATTGCTTTGGAGAATTTACTCAAAAGTAAAGCTCCTAATATTTCTTTGAATTTAACTTTTTTTGAGTAAAAAAACCCAAACCTTTTTTTTTGTATTTATAAAGGACGCACAATCCCTTTTAATGACATATCGAGAGGAAATGAGTTTATTGTTAGAGACAACAACAACAACAAAACCCTATTCCCATATGCAATAGGGTAAGGGGGAGATAGGGTAGTAGGCTGCCCCCAACGCCAGGTTGAGAGCAGCTTCCGTAGAAGACCTCCGACAATCAGAAAATTTAAAATAAAGATAAAATGCAATGTATGTATATATAAATAAATAAATACATAGTTGAACAGTCTTCATATGCCATCTTTATATGCGCGTCTGTAATGGGGGTAATCTCTACAAATAAATCCCTGCGTAAAAATCTCTGCATATAGACAGAAACGTAAGACTCGACTAAATTTAAAAATAGGAAACATGAAGAGAATGATACACAGAAGTCAACGATAGCAAGCTACGAGAAGGAATAATGTCAAATGGGTTAAAACCTAAAGTAAGGCAACACTACTCCGCTATCCTAGTTCTAAGCCGTCATAAATTCTAATGACAGAAATGTATAAAAAGTAGAAGTAATGGAAATTACTACAAAGGCATTAAAAAGAAGACAAAGAGGTTATACCCTATGGTTGTGACCCACACTACTCGGCTACCCTGGTCTTAAGTCTCCATACTTTTCTATCAGAGGTCATGTCCTCGGTAAGGGCTAAATCCTTCAAATCAGATCTCAAGCAGTCTTCCCACTTCCGCCTTGGACGTCCTCTCCTTCTGGCACCGTCGGCTGTAATCGACTCTACCCTCCTGACCGCATCCGACGGTTGTCGCCTAAGGACATGCCTAAACCACCGTAGTCTTCCCTCCCTCAATTTTTCGGATACAGGTACCACCCCCAAGGACATCCTAATAGCAGAGTTTGGTGTCATATCCCACAGAGTCCTACCACATACCCATCGAATCATTCTCATTTCTACGGCCTCCATCCTCCTTACGTGGTCCTTCTTGATTGCCTAACATTCTGATCCATACAACATCGCTGGTCTTATTGCCATTCTATAAAATTTTCCCTTAAGTTTTAGAGGCACCTTCTTGTCACACAAAACTCCAGTAGCAACCCTCCACTTTAGCCATCCCGCCTTTATACGATGTGTAACGTCATCATCTACACCCCCATCTTTATGTATCATAGACCCTAGGTACTTGAAATAATCATTTGAGGGGAGAATGTATCCTTCTATGCATACTTCTACATCTTCATCATTTTGGTTTCCACTGAAGTTTGAACATAAATACTCATCTTTTCAATATTGATCCTTAGACCTTTTTCTTCCAAAGCAGTCTTCCAGGTAGCCAGTTTACCATTCAGCTCAGTTTTTGTTTCAGCTACCAGGACAATGTCGTCAGCGAAGAGCATACACCATGGAACACCGTATGGTGTCGCACAATAGATGTCGTCCATAATCAAGGCGAAGATGTAAGGGCTAAGAGCCGACCCCTGTTGTTGATCGATTTCCACCGGGAATGCCTCGGTATCGCCAACTGTAGTCCTGACGTATGTAGTAGATCTATAGTACATATCATGAATCGCCCAGATATAATCAGTTGGGATCCGTCTCATTTCCAAGGACTTCCAGATCGTATTGCGGGGAACGTTATTATACACCTTCTCAATGTCAATGAACGTCATGTGAAGATCTCTATTTGTTTCCTTATATTTCTCCATAAGCAGTCGAAGTAGATGAATCGCCTCCGTAGTAGACCTGCCTGGCATAAAGCCAAATTGGTTTTTCGAAACCTTAGTAATCTGTTTCAACCTAGCCTCTATCACCCTTTCCCATAGCTTAATGGTATGGATGAGTAGTTTAATACCTTTGTAGTTACCACAACGTTAGGGATCCCCTTTATTCTTATAGATTGGTATCACCGTAGACTCTCTACACTCCTCTGGCATCTTGGTAGTCTCTAAAATAATATTAAAGATGTTGGTCAACCACTTAACTCCCTCTTCTCCTAGGGCCAACCACACAGTGATTGGAATTTGATCTGGACCGACAGCTTTGTCCCTCCCCATCTTTTTAAGAGCCATTTTGACTTCCTCAAACTCAATCCTACTTGTAAGACAGTCATTGTCCGTAGTATGATGGTCGACTGACCCATCAACGGTACTATCTTTACCGGGAGGGGCATCGTCATTAAATAAACCAAAGAAGTAACTACCCCAGACCCTTTTAATATCATGATCTTTCACTAAAAGAACACCATTGTTGTCCTTAATAAACCTAATGCTACCTAGATCTTTTTTCCTATTCTCCCTAGATTTTGCAAGCCTGAAGATGTTATTTTGTCCTTCCTTGGTGTCTAATCTCTTGTACATTTCCTCGTATGCCTTATCCTTTGTTTTAGCCACTGTTTTCTTGGCTTCCCGCTTTGCCTCCTTGTATCTTTGTTTAACTCTCGATCTTTCTTCGTCGTCATTGCATTGTAGAAACTCCTTGAAGCAAGTTTGCTTTGTCTTCACCTTAGTTTGGACTTCTTCGTTCCACCACCACGATTCTTTATGTTCCTTTACCTTCCATGTCGACAACCCTAGGGTGTTTTTACCCACCTCTCTGATGGAATTTGCCATATTATTCCATAACATATCTGCATTATTTGAGTTTGTAGTTCCAAAACCTGAAATAGACAAAACCTTACTCCTAAAGTCATCAGCTGTCGCTCCATGTAAGTTCTTCCAAACGATCCTAGGTTTACCAAGTTAAGCTCTCCTATGAGTGCTCCGCCTGTGGCGTACGCGGAACACCAAAACCAACAATCTGTGTTGTGATGAACATGTCTCTTCAGGGAACACCTTACTGTCAATGCAAGCCCATCGATCCTGATTTTGAACCAGGATGTAGTCGATTTAGGTACAATGTCCCCTGCTATGGAACGTAATCAAGTTCACATCTCTCTTGTTAAAAAAGGAGTTAGTGACCACCATATCGTGTGCAGTAGCAAATATTGACAATATTATAAATATTTATGAGTATTTTATAACGTGTAGTGACCATTTTATATTAATTCAATACACTTGACGAATATTTTGTAACTTTCAAAATTTTAGTGACTAAAAATTATTTTAGTTTAGTTTAGTTACTATTTGAGCACTTTACGTTATTATTTTAATAATATTATAATTTCATAATTCTTTCTCAATCAAGGTGTATCTTTTGAGTTAACTACACATATTTTCAAACTATGATCATCGTTATAAATTGACTTTTAAACTTTTTAATTTCATCTTTAGCCTCAATTTTTTTAATATTTCAATTTCATCCTTGAACTATTACTTTTATTCTAAGTTGATTTTCAAACTTTTGATCATTTCAATTTCATCCTCAAACTATCAGTATATACTAATCATGCCTCAAATTAATAAAGTTATTATAAAAATTGTTAAATATCATATAAACATTAATGTGTATTATATAATAAATATTTTTTTAACAAATTCTAAATCTAATTTTAATCCTACTTAGAGGAGTAGGGAGTGGGGACTCTAATGGAAGGAAAGAGAGTGTTCATAGTGAGTATATAACTCATGACTTAAGAGAATATGAGGGAACAAAGATGAGTAGCTAGGTCAACTAATCAAATTTATTTACTCGTATAATATAATAATATAATATGGTATAAATTGTCAAAAAAATATAATGTGGTATAAACTATAACTAATGATAGATTTAAATAAAATAATATATTAACTTTAAAACATGTGAATAATTATTAACAAATTGAGAGAACAAAAATAAATAAAAAAATGTCAATTTCATTCTAAATAATAACTTTAAAGATGCAATACAAGTTAATTATCGTTTATGCTATATCATATTATTATAAGTAGTTGTGTATTTTTGTGACAGTCGTGTAAACATAAGCACAAATGCTTAAACTGCCAAGATACTGAATATAAATAGTGTATAATATAGATGGAAGAAGTTGAATTGGCATGTCTGCATTTCGATGAATCTTGGTTGCTTGGAGATAGTGGAGCAGGAGAGTTTGGAGGCTGTGGAAGAGATCAATAAACAAAAGTTTTGTTTGATTTCATTCGTTTTTTTAACATATGGAAAACAGCCTATTGTCACTTATTTTATTTATATAATTGTTTTTATTCAATAAACAATAGTGTAGTTTGATTTCATTCGTTTTTTTTAACATGATTAATGTGTAATATATATTTTTTTACTTGGAAGGAGGGCTCAAATCACATCAACTCTAATATAAGGTGGGGCATTTGCATCCCTTATAGCTACATCGATGATATTCGTTGGCACAGAATCAAGTAAAGTAACACCTCTCTGATTTGAGCCAAAACAGTTGTATTATATTATTATCCAAATCAAAGTCACCTCTACACCATATAATCGACAAAGTCCAAGCTCGCCTCGATGGATGGAAAGGTAAATATTTATCACTTGGAGGTCGAACAACATTGGTAAGATCAATCCTTGTAAATCTTTTGATTTATTACCTTTAATTGTTCTGTTTACCTGCTGCTGTGGCTGATTCTTTAAACCGAAGCGTCGCTAGTTTATTTTGGGGTTCAAATGACGGCAGATCCATCCATTGGATAAAGTGGGAGTTCATTAGTAGACCAAGATCACATGGCGGTATAGGTTTTTTTGACATTTAAATTAAAAATCGTGCGCTTCTAAATAAATGGCTTGTTGGTTTTTTGGCAAATTTTGAATCCTACATTGGTTTTGTATAAGGAGGAGGGGAAATTCTTTTGTTATAAATAGAGTCATTCTCCTCCTTAGTTTAGCATCCCACAAATATAAGTATTCTT